CGAAACCTGCGCGGTTAGAGCTCTCCAATATCGACAAGTACAAATTCCAGTTCACGGCATCAGCAAGCACGACGGAACAAAAATACATAAAATAGATAACTAAAAAATAAAAACTATCACTTTGAATATGTTACTGTAGTGAGTGACAGCTTAAGAAGCGCAGTGCGCGGCAAGTCCGAAACATTTTATTATAGTTCCATTAGCCATTGAGATCGCGACTAATAAGTAATGACATAAAAAGCCACGCCCTCCTTATCTTAAGCTGTCTAATGACAGAAGGTAATAGGGCTGTGTCACGAAGACTCTTTAGGAGGTCAGTCCTCGACGATCACCGTGGAAAAGGAAGAAAACTCTGCGTGTTTCAGGGTGATAAATTAGAATCGAGAAAGTGCAGCCCTATAAAAGTAATTTTGGCTGTCTAGGACTCTAGAGTCGGTGACAGGTTAACAGTTCAGGGGAATGCTTTTAAAGAGGAAAAAGGTGGGAGGAGCTTCCCCTGAATTTTTTAACTTTCACCAAATAAAGGTGTTTGAGGGTATGAGAATAAAATACAGGCAATAGCGTGCTGTCTTTTTTGTTTCTACTAAAAGCCTCGATAGCGCATGCCAGCTGCATTTAAGTCAGTCTGGTTAAAAAATAGTAATCATATTTTAATCAGAGCCCGAACTAAAATTTAAGCCTAAACAAGAATTTAAAAAAAAACGACGAATAAGAGGATATTCAAATACTGCCTGTTGTTGTTACGGTCTAATACACTCTTGATACACGACAATTTCAAATGACTCGTGATATATGCGCTGGCTCCGCGATGCTTTGTTGGCTTATTTTCTTTTATTAAGGCCACTGTGACAATACTTTGAGTAAACTATAAAACAAATTATCGTACTTTTATTATTCGTTTAATACACCCCGCTCTCGCTTTCGTTTGGTTGTGAACCTCGTAAAATCTAATTGTATCTAATTATTCGTCAACACAGTCGAGGAGATTCACAACAGTATTTGTAATTGACTACGTAATGCTCCTTGCATTTTGATCACTTAGCTTTGAAATTGTATAAGTATACGTGACAGTTTTAAAGTGCTTATAACTTGGCAACAGGCGCAAACAATTGTCACCATTTTCTTTCTCATTTAAAAACGCTCGCTTCCGTCAAAGTGAAAGCAAGTAGGCAGGCGAGCTGGATAAGGATAGACACGGTGACCCTAGAGCAAGGGGCCAAAAAGGGACGGACCGACGCGAAGCTCATCCGAGTTCTGACCTTCGTGTCTGTCTGTCCCTTTTTGCCCCCTCGCTCTAAGGTGCCCCCTCGCTCTAAGACTGAATGCCTTTGAAATAGCCGGATGACAAGCGCACATTCATATTGTTCTTCACTTCTTACAGTCCCGTTGCAGTGAAAACTGGTACTAACATAAAACATCCCTTGTCAAAAGAAAAAAAAAAGAAAAAAAAAAGTTGAATTGCAGTTATATTGTAAGATGGCCACCGTACGAGAGCTGTCGACGACCTTCGAGGAACAAAACGTGCCACAATACTCCAAGTATACGACAACAATTAGGCTACACGTGAGAACGAACGAGCAGACAACGAACGACACCCAGGACAGATGCGGTGCCGGCAAGTGCGAGTGCATTCAACCAAGACCTGGTATACAAACAACCAAGGGCATACTGCTATGTTTTAGAGCGCAGCTCTTAGGGGCCCGTTTCCAGCCTGAGCGGCGTCGGCGTCGCCGTTGGCGTCGCCGTCGGCGTCGCCGTCGGCGTAACCGCGCCCCTCCCTCTCCTCCTCCTCCCCTCCACCTCCTCCCCCTCCTCCTCCCCCTCCTTCTCCTCCTCCTACCCTCATTGTGTAGTATGGTCCGGGCGGGTCACGTGACCTCAGGGGGAGGGGCACATGACCCGTTTCCAGCCTGTGCGGCGTCGGCGTCGGCGTTGGCGTCGGCGTCGCCCCTCCCCCTCCTCCTCCTCCCCCTCCGCTCCTCCTCCTCCCCCCTCCTCCCCCGCCCAGTAAAGGTGGTAAAGGAGGGGGAGCAGGAGGGGAGGACTAGCAGGCATGATCACGAGGGAGGAGGAGGAATATACCCTCCACTCCTCCTCCTCAAGAGCTGCGCTCCAATTCGGCGTTACAGGAAGTTGTAAACGGCTTTTTTCTACGTCATCGATCGGAGGCCAGCGCGGGGCGTCGATTGGATACGAGTTCTAGCCGAGCACTGGCGCAGCACTCGTATCCAATCGGTGCTTCGCTCTGGCCTCCGGTTCATGACGTAGAAAAACCTCGCAGTACGGCCTTGTTATGTAGGAGGAGTTGAATCAACCCTTCCCGCCTCGACAAAAATTATCCAAGTTGCGTACGTGTGTTTTTTGTGTCAACAACGACCATCACAACACGAGGAGGAAAACAGTAAAGTCGTAGGCTTTTCTTGGTATATATATATACCAGGAAAAACCCGAAGGGGGGAGCCATTTCAGAACGAACTTCCGTCGATGACAAAACTGAGCAAAGATTTTTTTCGGGTTCGTTGGTTTGGGAACGATTCGCGCTAACCCTATCGAGATGTACGCACATATATGTTTGGTTGTGGTCTGCAACGGCTAGAACGCTCAAATTGCGCCTTGATGTTAGCCTGTAGCGATGAGGAAAACGTGCAACAACGACTACGACTATCACAGAAGAAGTATATAAGCTACCTTCGCATTCTTGCGTGGTGCGTGAACGTTCGATTATTTCGCGAATTGAAAACGATCACGAAAACATTGTCGCGTGAGCACGGGACTTTTGACTAGTTCATTACATTAGGAGAAATTTTGGTTTTCCAAATTATAACAAAAAATACACCTTGAGAGGTAGCGCAATATTGCATACTTCGTTTAAACATCAGATGTAATTAACTGAGTAATACCGACTCTGTTCCGCCAATAATTTAAACAGAAAGCTATACATGTCTCCTTCCATACAGAGTATCGTTAAAATTTGTATACAGTGAAATGCCGATGGAACGTCCTCCCCCAAGAAATCGCCCACTCGATATTTGTCACCATCTTTCTCTTCGCCGTGGGTGGGTGCTTATACGGTATTTACTGTATTAGAGAAAATAAAACAGAACGGATTACGTAATTCGTTGCTCACGTTGTGGAAAGCTGGAGAGCTACTGAAGGTTCAGAGTACCTAAACTCCCACTCTTGGTTTCAGAACTGCGTCGTGGCGCTGAAATCGATGATGGCGGAAGGCGCCACTTGTTTCAAAGAATTGAGTCGTTTTCACACATCTACCTATTCACCCGTAAAATGGCGGTCCTGTGCAATCAATTGAACCAGGCGGGCAACCTGTAGAAGTCTGCTTGAAAGCGGCCAAAACGAACTGAAATTTCTTTAGCTTGACTTACTAGATTGCAGTCTATATACTTGTCATGAAAAGTCTTAACGAGAACCCACACATGCCACGTTCCGACAGTTCATAATTCACCAGCTTTTCAGAGCTGCCGAGCACAATATTTTTGCTGTTGTCTCCCGGCATCGACATTGCTCACATCAGCCAACCAGAAAGCTCGGATTACTCTTGACCGGCTCAAGCGGCCGCTACGGAATGCGGTATACTGAGGACATTCAGTGTCTCTGGATTGCCGTGTGTCAGATGCACGTCCGCGAGTGTTGAAGAGGCACGGAAGAGGTCTCCAAGGGTACTTCTAACTCCACTAGGTGGAACCAACAAGTGAAAAACACGTTCCAGAATATATGGTATCGCACTAGGAAGAGTTTGTTTCCATCGAATGCCGTATTGTAACATACCAAATAAAATACTTTGGTAAATGGACACTGGTCTACCGTTCCATATACATATACGTGCGTAGACCTCAAGGGGATGGAGTTCTTAGCGCATCATAATTTAAAGATTTCAATCAATCAATAAATTAATTAATCAATCAATCGATCGATCAATCAATCAATTTTTAAATGTTTTCTTGTTTTTTAGTGTGTGGTGCAGCCCAGAGTTGAGGCCCTGATTGACATCTGAGGAATCAGGCCTTTCCCCGTAAGCTCGTGTTCGTGCTGGTAAGAACTAAGAAGAGATCACTAATCTTATCACATTCATTCTTATGAAGATTAGAACAACCAACTGACTAGTTCTTAATCTTGTCATTTTTTATGTCCACTTTTGCTTTATGGTTTTAGGTTTTGTCCTTATTACGTCAGTCAAAACGCGGAAGTGTTGATTCAAATAAGACAAATGTGCATTTGGAACGGAAAAGTAAGTGATTTCTATACAAGGTTGAGCACTGTGTAGTGCTGGTGAACTTCAAGAACCTGGTTTCACACATCAACAGTTAGCGTAACCCTTTAAACATCACAGTTTCTAAACACAATAAATTCACAGATATCACACACTACTTTCGACCCAAAACAGCAACCCAGACCTCTCCAACAGACGTCATCAACACCAACGTCGCAGCTATAGTATCTGCAACAATCAACAATTTATACAACCAGGATCTCACCGTAGAATTTCATCCCTAACTCTGACGCTCAGCCAGAGCTCAACAACACTTTAAACCTATGAACATCTCAACCTGCATCGCACACTAAAACCTCTGTGAAAACAAAGTGTGCAGTGCGCCGACATATGTATAAGAATATACCCCCTCACTGAAGGCTGGCCATCAACATCACGCGAGGGACATCCCAACTTTATCCACAGCTGCCTTGGTCACTTATTAAAGGTTCTAATAAAATTATTGATTCCCACAACCTCATAAGCATTGGCAGCCGACAGGGTCCATTTAAAAGCAATCTAAATCATTGGATAGAGTTCCCTCAATAACCACTTCTTTCTGGATGACTAAGATTACGTCTCCACGTTCCATGTTGACCATCGGAACTGTTGAAAGAAATCTGCTGACTCTGGATCCATACATTGTTCAGCCCACAACAATGACTGCCTGGATCATCAAAGTTTTCACCTTCGTGTCTAAAGCTTTCCGACTGACGAAAGACAATAAACCGCGACGCATCCTCCTAACGGCACAAACGTCGCGTGCGTCTGAACGAACAACAGGAATAGACTTTGAGATCGTCACCTGCGATGTCCGTAGTCGTCCTCGAGCCCTCTGTCAAATTTTAACATGACGTGTGTCCTTATCGTTTCTTGAGTCTTAAGACACGGGCCCCCTGGACCCGTTACCGGTTGCCTTGGACAGACCCGTGGACGCGTTTGACTTGGTCATCGTTGGTTTGGTGTCGACAGCGAAGTCGTCGTCGCTGGAGCTCGCTTCCTCGAGCCAGGACTCGTGGCCCGGGCCCGGTTGTGCGCTGACCCTGTCCGACGCTCCCAAACGCTGGGAGTTATCGTGCGTGGTCGTCGCTGTCTTGTCGCTCGTGTACGCCGCGCTGGCAGCGACGGAGTGTCGGCGACGGGCAATTTCGGAATCTGTAAAAAAAAAGTGCGTGACATTCAATGAACAAGTTGGAGAGGTCGACACCTGTGGCATCTGAGATTGAAATTTTTTCAGTTTGAGATTATACAGTTAGACGGACAGTGGTGTATACTAGGGATGTCTCGAACTTCTGCCGAACCTCAAAGTTCAACTGGTTCGGTGAACCTTCGAGCTTTTGACGAAAGTCGATAAAGCTCAATTTTTTAAACAGTGTTGCCCGTTTTTTAAACAGTGTTACACAAGGAAGTATTCAAGTTCTCAGAAACTTAGCCATAAAGAAGTTTTTTTATATTTTTGTAAACTGAAAGTTAGTGTTTACAAACATAAAAACAAACATATGTATACTTTTAATGGTTTAGTTAGTTTATTCTCGTGAAACAATGAAACAGTACACCCACCAAATATTGCACCCCTCCTCCGTCAGGTGGCGTCAGCTCGTTTTCAATTTAGTCGAACTCAATCGATCTTTTGTCGAACTTTGCGAGAAAAGTTCGAAAAAGTGGAATCTAGTCGACCTTGAACCTTGGCAAGATAGCAAAATCACTAAATGTAAAAAAAAAAGAAGAGAAAAATATACAGTGTAGTTTTGCCACAAAAATAAACGACGCGTCGCCGAACGCTGTACATCCACCCAAATGTAGCCCTTGCTGTCCGAACCATGATGCCAAAGTTTTAGAACTAACCGTTATCGTAATCGAGAGTTATTAGTGATTTTTCTTTTTTTAAACTTCAATGGAACAATGGGGCTCGATCTTGGTAACTGGTCCTATTCAGCTCGATGTATTTTTATCGGCCGCCATTTTCCCATTGAAAATTTAAGAAAATCACTTATAACTTTTTATTAAGATAACGGCTATTTCCGAAAGTTGGACTTCTTGTTCGGACACCTAGTGCTACATTTGGGCGGAGAATAAGTGTTCGACGATGCGCAATTTAGTTTTGCAATAAAAAAAAAAAAAAAAAGAAAGCGATGCACATTTTGGACTATTCCGTGTCATTGCTACGGCACGTACCCAGGTGGCTTCCAAGCGTGATGTGGCCCGTCCCGTGGCCTGCGCTGAGGTCGAGTGACGGCCGGCCTCTCCTGACTGGGGCAAACCTTGGCTGGCAGGGCGACGACTTCCTGAACGGACATCAACGCCCAGGCAAGCAATTATTTGACTCCCTTCCACGAGTGCCATTTTGGCTGTCCTTCCTAGACCTTCGCTAGCCGGGGTTCACAAAACTCCCCGTTTGCAACCTTGAGTTTCAGAACGCGCATGCCCAGACAAAGGACATCACAACGCAATCTAACGAGCTTATTGAATATTTCACGGAAGTGAGTGCCTTTCAATTACCACCTATAGACAATCTAAAACACAAAGGCGACGTGAGTATGCACTAACCGTTCTGAGTGGTGGTACAAAGCAGCAGTTCCCCTATTAGGACATGTTAAGGGTGGGTTGGTTCTTTGATGCAGTAGCTATACGAAGAAAAACTGGGGGAGAGGAGGGTACGAGAGTGCGCTGAGACGTCAGAGCGCCGAGTTCTGATGGGAAGGATTAGTGGGTAGTGGGAAAGGCAAGTTGCCTTCTTTGTCTCCGCCCATCGTCTTCCTCCAATCAGAGCAAACAAGGTCGTCGTCTGCTCCTCGCGCAGTGTCTGGCGTTCGAACGCCGGACACCGGCTAGCCTTTGCGTCTACCCACTAACCCTTGCAATCAGGGGTCGGTGCTCACATCTCCCCCTCTCCCTCAGTTTTCCTACGTGGGCATGGGTGAGTTGATCACGTGGCGACAGATTGACGTATGATTGGTCCAACGAGCAGCACGAAGCTTCCACCCTCACTCTAAAGTACGAGTTCACTTTTTTGCAGAACACGGAGGCAGCGAATCACGGCGAACAGTGGAATGATTCCAATGTGGGCAGAGACAATGAGCATGACGTTTCACTCATTTATTGTCCCTACGGACGTAGCATACATTTCTTTCTTTTAAAATCTAGTCGCATTTTGAGTTTTGTAATTCGCTAGAACCATTACATTGCTCAATGTGATTGGCTGTTTTCGTCACGGCGCTCGTTGATTGGCTATCAAAGGCTAAACCCATCACGCACATAAAATGCGCAGGGTCGCGGCGATTTTATTGTGCGTAACTGGTTTTGTTTAGATCAAAGCGCACATGAAGGCTCCCTAGGGAAGTGCTGTCATCATAGGACTGAACGGACGATAGACCATTTTACTGAAAGAGGGCGAGAGAGAAGAGGGGAAAGGGCTACCAGCGCTCTCCCCCTTGCTGCTGCGTTAAAAAGAGTGAAAGTCCCGGATGAGAGGCTTCGCCGGTGTTAGGTGTATGCGCTGCCCGAACCTCGTACGCGCATTTTTTGTTTTTAACTCCCAAACTTAATTAGAGCCACGGGCTTCGATGTCGACAGTCCTTTGGTCAGCGGGACACCATTGCTCGGTTATAGGGTGCACGAATAACAACAGAAAGCGTCGAATACTGTCCGAGGGCCTGTGTAGCCTGCACGGAATCCGGGAAGGCGAGTGCGGTTGCAATGTCTTTAAGCTTCATCGCTTTACACAAGACCCCGATCTCGGGCGGCAGTGGGTTGCGTCCGTAAACCGAAAAGACCTTTCCACAACCCCAAGACCTTTCCCCAACGAATGGAGCGCGCACCGAACTTAACGCTGTACCGTAGCTAGACATGGGGTACGCTCGCAAAGTACGTGCTAGTTTTCGGGTGATAATTGCTGTTTCAGCTTGTTACTTTTTTTAACAAAATTTATCTTAATATTGACATTTTAAAGTGGTGACACTGACTGATTTTTTCATCTACAACACTTAGTTCAAGGCTCATTTTCGCCGCCGGGTGTGTCTGGATACTGTCGAAAAGTTCTATCGGTTTTCTTGAGTAGCGATTTCCTGCGCGATGCCAGAGAGCCGTGACCGTCACAACGCCGACTAGATTCTTCTCATTTTCAAAATTAGTACATAATGTAGTTGGAAATAAACTATAAATTTCTGTTGCTGAAAGTTGACAGATGTTCATGCATCGATTTCGAATCGCTGAATCATTGATCGACTCGCTCCGGCAAAAGGCCCATCTCGACTTTTCTGTTTTCAGTTCTCGACAAAAGACACACTCATCGACACGGGATCCTAAAATAAAACGTTCATAAACACTTTCAAGCCGGAGGGAGTTTCCTTCGATCGTTCCCTGCAGTATTCTTATTTCATGCGTCCTTGTTCACATTATATGAAGGGAAATTCAATCGATGTCAAATGATACAATACTTGGAGTACTCGCCTCCGATTTCAATCGGTGGTACGTTCAGTGCCGCACTTCTGGCGTCGCCGCGCTGGCGGAAGCCATAATGCGGGGCAACAAACGTTCTCAGTGAGATAAAAAAAACGCCATCCGTGGAACACAAGAGCACAAGATGCGCCCTAAGTCAGATACCAAGCACTTCGGAGTACCCAACTAGCACACCCAACGCGGGAGCGGCGCCCAGAACAGCGCCTTCGCCAACGTTCCTAACCACTCAGCATGGCCGCGGAACCTGACGCTGCCTATAGATGGCGCTACAGTATTCAAAATGGCGCTGCCCGCGATAAAACAGCCTATAAGCCTTTCCAACGCTTATCACCTAGGACAAAAATGCTGAGTCACTGGGCTGTGGACGCATGCGCAGCGTCTCATATTTCGTGCAAGAGAGCTACTGCGCACGCTCAGACCACCTTCCACAAGCCCAGCAGACAAAGATGACAGCGCGCAGAAGGCGATTATTGAAAAGAAAAAAAGTCTATAGATTAGCTTAGAATCATGCGTACTCCGCTTCGAGCACTAAAGGGATCTTTTTGCAGCCGCTGTCCTTCTCACCTGCGGTCTGCGGACGCAGCCGTGGCGCCCAGCAGGCGACTTCTGTGCTGCGGTTGCTGCTCGTGCGGCTGCTGGGGCTGGTTCTCGGCGTCCTCCCCACCTTCCTCGTCCTCTTCCCTGTCCGCTTTCCTCTCCTCCTCTTCGTCTTCATCCTCCTCCTCGTCGTCCTCCTCCCTTCCTCTTCCGTGCTGGGTCACGTGGTGTGCCCGGGCAGCTCTGGCCAATGGGGGCGGCACGGGCGATGGACTGCGGACGTGTGGCAGGGACGCCGACCTGGCGAGGACGACAGGCGCGGAGAAAATAAAAGAACTGTCGTCGAAACCATACGGCGAGCAAGTGCTCCGAAACGCGTCGTATTGTCGCTCGGCAGTCAATGAGAAGCGGCCTTGGTCGATAAGCACACCTAACAGGAACCACGAATCAAGAAGCGTGGACGTGAAAATCCCCGCCGTGCGTTTTTCACGCTGCCAGGGACCATAGAAATCGTTCCAGTGACAAGGCGAAATGCGCCTTGTCACTGGACTGTGAAAGCAGGCGCAAAATACTTCCCTCAAAAGGGCAAGAACAGATGCTCAGAGTACGGTCCACAGCCAAGCCGTGACTTTGCGGCCAAGTATACAATGATGGCAACGACCACAAGACGATGGATGGAATAATCTATAGACAATTCGCTATAACCTTTTGATGTTTTTAATCCAAAAAATATTAACCGTCCCATGGAGCGAACCGGTGTTATCAGCTTTTGAAGCCGCGCTAAACGGCACCTAAATTCCCCTGTCCCATGGAGCGAAGCCTGTAGTCTGTAGCAGCCACCCGATTGGCTGGCGCGCGGAGAAGTTCCAAGGAACGCCACCCCACATAGAAGCCCTCTCCATGGCGCAGCGGCCCGGCCGCCAGTAAGAAGAAGCGGCCGGCCGCAGGGCCAGCAGAGCCAGCCCGGGCAGACTCCGGATAGGCCGTACGGCCAAGCTCACCGCGGCGCGCAGCCTGTAGGAATACGCTACGTATACGAATGCTTTCACATTCCGACACGTTAGGAGTCTTAAGTGTCTTTGTAGTTTTTAATAGCACCGGAAGGAGCCGCTTTTGACAATTAATTTACATCCCCGCGAACTTCCGGTCAAACGAGAGGACAAAGTTCCCACCATAGCACCGCATCTTGTAATGTTCGTGAAATATGTTATGCCCAGTTATCCAGGTGGTTAGCTAAAGGATGGATTAAAGAGATATTTGTCGCAGTTCTTTATTACTTCTGTAAGACCACCGATCCCCTCTTTTATATTGAATAGCACAACATATAAGCTAAATGCCCAACTTCTTGCTTTCCGAGAACTTCATAGGTCCAAGAATTTTGACACGTTTCAGCAGGCTTGGAAGCAGACGTTTCAGCAGGCTCGGAAGGCCTGCTGAAACGTAGCGGCCGGAAGTCTCCTGGGAGCTAAGAGACGGCTAGTGCTTGTAAACAGTAAAGAGGTTTGTAGTATGCCTACTGGAACTTTGCGGAGTGTGCCGATGGCGGCGTCCGGCTCACACAAAGAAAAGCGGAAAAAAACTATAACCAATACAGTTGTTTCAACTATGGTTGGAGGACCTTACAAAAAGCTGTCTTAATCGATGCTCTTGAAGGACTCTTTTCTGCTATAAGACCACTCCTGAGGTTGAATAAGAAGAATGGGGGTGAGCTGGTTGAACAAAACACGATAAACTTTAAAGAACGGGAACAGAGGGGACAAGACAACGTGAATCCCGAAGAATCGTGTTTTTGTTCTTTCATATTTGACCCCACACTAGGATCACAGAAAAATGAAGTATCAGTGCACATGCCTTGGTTGGTAAGCACAGATAGAGCGATGTGGGGAAAACAAGTATCGTGCCCACATGTCTGTCTGCTTCAGGGTGAAGACATTCTTAGTTGCATTGGTAGGCAAGCGCGTGACGTGCTCGCACACTAAGTGCGTGCCTTATGCGGTAAAATGGTCTTTAAGCACTAGCCAAGTCTTCGCACTCAAGCCGAGTCACACAGGATTGCGCGCACAGCAATAGTCACTACAAAAACGATCGGGCAAGATAATGGCTGAGATGTCACAACTCAAGTAAAAGCGGCCGTGAATGAAGGCACTCTAAAAACAAGGTGGACACATAGTACCCCGTAAAGTCAATCTCCTTGTCAAAAGTTGCCGGGAATCAAAGCACGTGGGGCAAGAGCTCGTGCTGCAGAATTCAGAGACACAGGATTCAATCGTACCAATTCACGTTTCGATCTATACAGCTTTTCCACAAGGGCTCAGCCATCTTGAATGCCGTCATTTCTGGTAAGCGTTAAAACATAGTTTAGATTTCTCCACGCCGCTGGAAAATGTTAACGAAAACTGCGTGATCGTCACACATTCTTGTTTTGACTCACCTATATTTTCTCGCATATTTCAGGTTGAACTGTTTGATTATTTTTTTGTTCCGCATACCATATACGGAACCCACGTGACTGAGAACGACTGGAAACAGAAAACGTCTACATATAGGCTTCTCAGCAGCATGCGGTCGTGTATGACTACACACTGCGCGATACACGATGAAAAACCCAGGTCGGCAATGGTACTGCACTGGCTAAATTTATCTTAAACAGCGGACAGATGAGACGTCTTTTGAGGCAGACTAACACCCCACTGTCTAAACATACCCTCAAAACAACTACTTTTATCCCACCTATGGTCTAGGAGGGTAGGTGTAGAATTCCGCGGGAGAGAGCGGTCTCCGATTACAGCCTACAGGGTGCAGCATAATCTGTATGTGGGAAGCAGCGCCACTTTGCACTCCAGGGCTAGAAGAGAAGATGCTAACAAAAATGGCTGGATGGAATGTTTTTTAAAACTCTGTAGAGGTGCTGTCCAGTCGTAAAAGAAAAACAACATCTAGTTTTTTTTAACCGTTTACAGCCTGGTCGGTCGTTTCATTTAGAACCGCTGGGAGATGTGAAAGATCGCCACATCTCTCTTTTAATTCCGTGGTCACACTGCTTAATCCCTACATCGTACAAAGGACGCAGAGTCTCTCTGCCGACATGATGACAGAATTACATCTGCGGACACGCGTCAAGCACGATCGAAGCATGTGTGGTTCATACATATGTGTGTGCTCTAAACATGTGTGCAGACAATTTTTTTATACGACCATGTGACAGGACCGCCATACAAGGAAGAAATACGCCCCCGTAGAGTGTCCGCGCAGACTGTGTCTTGTATAACCAATGCGACGTACAACCGTCCCTCAAGAAAGAAACGTGCCTCAGACATTGTGTGCAGGCTGTCCTTTGTGTGATGTAAGCAGAGTTGCCGCTGTTTTAGCCCACCATAGCATTACGGCCTGGTTTATATAGGAGGTTTTGTGTGCATGTGTGTGTGTGAAAGGGGGGGGGGGGGGGGGCATCTCGGCGCACCTCTTGCGTCCGGGCGGCGGCGTGGAGACGGTGGCCCTGGGCGGCGCCAGGTACTCCGGCTCCCTGAAGTAGAACTCGGACGCCCGACGTCCACCTTTCTTCGGGGCCTGGCGCGGGGACAGCGTGGGCGCGCCGTGCAGCCGGATGACGGGCGTCCTCCTGGGAGCGCTGGACGAAGACGAGCCGCCGCCTGCCGCCTCGGTCATGGCGGCCGCCTGTAGGGTGTCGCCTGGGGGCGAGGTCTAGCGGGCAGGGAAGGACTGCTCGAGGGAGCTCACTTGGCCGGACTCCGGGTCTGCGTTGGCAAAGAAGTAATGTCCGTTAAGAAGGAGACTTTGGACAGGGTCACCCTTGCTCGTGAATGGGTTGACTGAAAATACGTTTATTTATGGTTGACTGGTACGACCGCGACTCTTGCCCGAGGGCATCAAGACGGAAAGGGTGAACAGAGGTAAACGGAATGGGATGATATGGAGTAGACCAGGGGTCTCAAACACGTGGCCCGCGGACTGTATGCGGCCCACGACTCGCTGGGACGCGGCCCACAGGCAACCGGCAACGAATCCCGGTTCCCATGTCTCGAGCGCTAAAAATGGCATGCGCCATAGTGATCTCATCTCGTCGATTCATTTTCGCTCGAAAAGTATCTCTGCTCTTTAAACGTATTCACGCAGGTTATATTTATCTGTGCTCATTTGCCCCTTGTTTCGCTTTATTTTCTGTTTCGCAACTTTTTGTGATGTACAACGATTCCGCTCCTGGACTGCAAGCACAAGCTAGTCTTTGAAAAATGCATCTTGGCTGAGCGAGCACTCGATCCGCAGAAGCAACTAGCAAAAATAAAGCTACGAGCTCGGAATTATTGCCTTGAGAAAATAAAATATAAAGATCGTCAGGAAACCAATATCTACCAAATTAACCGACTGTTTCTTAGAAACATGTTGAGCTTAGTTAATTCTTGTGTAAATTGAGCTACGGGAAAGACAGTGTACTTGCTGTCTTGCCCTATTAAAAATGCCAGCACGTTGGCGGGGTGATGCAATTTTAATTCTTGTTATCACATCAGGTCAGAGCTCAAAGTAGTCATATAAACAATCAAATCTAAAGAAATCATTGGAAAAACTGAGTTTACAAAAAGCACAGAGCACGAGGTCTCTTTCGTGTGGCACCGGCCCAAAGTCTCAAACCTGTTCCCCAGTGGGTCCGTACTGGGGTAACACCGACAAGGTTTGACCAGAGGAAAACTGGCGACTCCCTCGCCGGGGGAAAGAGGCGGGGTAATGTTTTTAGTTTTTTTTTCCCAATCCCCCAGAGGTCATCCTGGTGATATTTCACACTGGCTGGTGACAGTTAGGGGAAGAAAAGTAGCTTAGAAGGGCAGGAGAAATTGTATGTTTGTCTTTTTAGACTTAGGCTAGGTGGCGCAAGCTACCGCCAGCTACAAAGAGTACAGCCATTACATTCATCCATCCATCCAGCCAGCCATCGTGTGATGCAACGTTTACACCGTGGTGCCGAAAAACGTACGCCTGGCCTATAGAGGCTAGCCGCAAGAGTAGTTCCGATCAGTCAGGTAATATGCTATGACTGTTTTACTGTTTAGCTTCGTAGATATCAAACATCTGTAGCGAATATTAATAAACACTGCCAGCCGAAAAGCGAGTTTGCCGCGAAAATATGTGGTATTTACTGGGCGCCATAATTGACCCCGGTGTTTGCAGCGAAGACTCAGAACGAGCCCCAACTTACCTTCTGAGAAAAACTAGACTTATGGTGGTGTGCAATTCGCAACTTTCACGTCGCCAATAGGGCGCGCACTAGTTCCTATAAGAATGACTGTCGTCTGGATAATCATGGTAGACAAGCAGTACGAGGTTGAGACTGCGACGCGTAGTCATTATTTCGTGAAATTCGAGCGATACCAGAGCCTTGCGTGACGTTTTCACGTCATAAAGGAGTAAGCAAGCACCTTTATTCTGAAAACAATCATCTAGGAGCTATAGGTAGCGCGATTCTCACACCGTGGTACGACCGTCGCTGAAAGTGGCGAATGCACGTTGCAGAAGCGTCGTCGAAGCTCATCGTAAGCTCGCGTTGAGCAGGAATGAACTTACCTATACTTCGTTCACCCTTAAACTGAGACTGCAGTCAGTGCCACAAAACATGAGGTCCCTGCTTTGAAACCCTGGAGGTGCACGCCCTTAAACACCATTCCAATATTTACAAGTCCTCGACTCAGCGTGCGATCTCCTCAGCCCAGCACACGCATGTTCGTCGCTTCGGAAAGCGAACGAATCGCGCGCCATACGCACGAACGATGAAAATGAAACCGGCCAGGAGCCCTTTTTTTTGTAAATGTCTATGCTACGCTCATCCTTAAGCGGAGACTGCAGCTAAAACTACAAGTGCAAGCTAGCCCACACTCCCGGCTTTGGGAAATGCATTTCTATAGAGAGTATTCACTGGATGCCATATTTGAGGGCAATTCATAGAGCGCATGCTCAGAACGAGCTCCCTTTAATAGGCTGCTAAGGCCGGCATTCCTGATGGTGCGGTATACACGTTGCAAAATAACCTTGGAAGCGCGCAGTCAGCAGTCGCGCACAGAGTAATGGCCACCAGTAAATACTCCCTATAGCGCGAGTGCTCGTTCTACGGAAGAACGCACGAAAGCAGCCACGTCGAGCTCCCGTGCTTGTGGCATTGGTGCAGCTAGTGCCACTAAATAAGCTACGCTTCAAAGTAACGACACTTGCCCATCTTGTGGCATTTAATCATGGTTGCCAGTTATCTGAAGCTTCATCTGAAATCACAAGAAACTCTTTTTCGTGCTCCAGAAATGTTGGTCTACAGTTCACGACAGAGCAAACCCATATTGCATGAGCTTCCTAACAGCGAAAATAATGCTGACGAAGTCACACTTCTGATTAATGACGATCGGCAGTTGCGTCTGCTCTGCACAAGCACCACTATGGCGGCGCCGACAACAACATCGGGAACAGAGTTTCGATACTCTAAGCGTAGCTCTAGTGCCACTAAATAAGCTACGCTCCAGAGTTACGACACTTGGCCATATTGTGTCTTAAAATCATGGTTGCCAGTTATCTTAAGCTTTATCTAAAATCCCAGGAAACGCTTTTCCGCCCTCCACAAATGTTTAAACAGTTCGCGACGGAGCAAAGCAATATTATATGAGCTTCCGAACACCGAATCTAATGCTGAGGAAGCCGCACTTTTGAGTCATGACTGTCGGCAGTTGCATCTGCTGTGCAGACGAGCGAAAATGGCGGCGCCCACAACACAGAGTGCCAAAACTCTAAGCGTAGCTCATTTTGTGGCGGGTGTTAGCTCGTGCTTGTAGCTTTGGCCTTAGTTTCAGCTTAAAAGTGAACAGAGTATAGTGAAGTTTTCGAAGTCTGCGGCCTTCTGAAATCTCTTCTACGAACGGCATCGACCCAGACTTTCCTGCACTTCGCGTTTTGGGGGAACTCGTAAAAACGCACGTCCAGGTTGCGCAGCGGGTTGCTTGCGCGACCTCCAGCACAGCAAGGCGTGCTCGGCATTGCACAACGATGCGAGTACCTTGGGCTCCCTGCACTTCGGCACTACGACACGCTTGAGCGAGCAGGGAGTCAATAATCTTCGTGTGCAATCGCAGAAGAGCACTTACAAGCGACGGCCGCTAAAACATAACACATCAAGCAGAAATCGTCCGCCGGGACGGCTCAAAAACAAACCAGAAAAACACGGCGAAAGAAGAGGCAGCACAAACAAGCAACCTTTTTCAGTATAAAGATGACATCGAGGCACAAGGTTGCTTGACAAGTAGCCAACACGTTGAATGCCCGCTGAGAAGCTGCTGGTGGCATTTCAAACATCAGTTTGAGAGTGGATTTCAATTTCCCATTAGTGTAATATTTTGACATTGGATCAATATCAGTAGTTTATTTTTGTTCGACTTCTGATCTGAGTTACTGTTCAAAGAAGCGGCCGCACTCCGGCATGTCTTGCATACTGATTTAAATAAAGTGGCGGGGGCATTCAGTGACGCAAAACGAAATGCTTAGGCTCCAAAAAACGCCCGTGAGCTTAGCAAATACGCTCACTGGTCGCAGGGTTTAACGTAACACCGTGACGTCATGTCACCTGGTCACGTGACATAACGAGATGAACTTTCCCGTTAGGTGTAACGGGAAGATCTCCCCATCAACTTTGACGTTATAATTTGTTCGTGACGCTGTCTCACGTCCCGGCAATTACATCTTATCCGCGACGTTAAACTCTTACCTATCCCGTTACATCTGTCATTGACATTACGTTTGTTCATAGTGGTACGTTTTATCCGTGACGTAACATTATTCCATGCCATTACATTTCATTAATGACATTAAATCTCGTTTGTGACGTTACATCTGTCCATGACGCTATATTTCAACTCTGACGTTACATCTGTCCATGATGTCACATTTCATCTATGACGTTACATCTGTCTCTGACATTACATTTCATTGGTGGCATTACGTCTCGGGCGTGACATCAACTCTCGACCGTGACGTTTCACCTCGTTCATGACGTCATATCCGTTCGTGGCGTTGCATCTCTTAAGGACGTTAGTTTTATTTGTGACTTTGCATCTTGTCCACGATGTTACATCTTGTCTGTGACCCTACATCTGTCCCGACGTTACATATGTTCGTGACTTTAGATATGTTCTGGGAATCATTACATTTAAATCTAATATAAAAAAATGCATGTACCTAAGGCAGAAAAAAGGCGTGCGGTTTATTCAAACTTATTGAGCTTCGATCATGTTTATTTCTACTTTGAATCAAACCATATACTGGACATTGAAGTCTCATATAACCAACGACTGTATGAAGTAATTGTTTTAGAAACTAAAAGCCTAACGCGAAATATATATATACATATATTATTAAACTGGCAAATTCCAAACCTCCTGAACATTCAGCTTGACTTAATTTATATATTGAAAAAAATACTTACCCACCGTAGACCTTAAGGAAACAATCGAAGATGTATTTCCCAAATCTGTAATGATTTTATTTAAAATTTTCTTGCTGCATTGTATGTTGTGTGTATACTAGTATATATTTGCAGTTTTCGTGTTGTATTTGTGCTGCTCTGTTGTAGTTTCGCTTGTGTTGCAAGTGTAGTCCTGTGCTAGGGGTCCAGTCAAACGATATTT